GAATAGTGACAATGAATTTAACTCGATTTGTACCTCATTTCCACGAATGTGATATTTTGCTAGTTTGCAAGTTAAATGGTCTGGCACATAGTTATACAATTTTTAGCATATCTTTTTCAAAATATGGGTATAGAAAATTGAAAAGATAAACGATTACTCCCATCATGAATGAATTTTTTCTTCGGTTATCTTAATAATATCAAATGTAGTATAATTCAACGCAGTCAACATAATATGAATTACTTGACAGTGCGTACTATATTAGAAAAGCGAGTAATGAATATTATCTATGTAGGAAGATGTATTTTCGAGGTAGTTCATGGCTTACGTCCGTCTTCTATAAACTGGAAAATCACAAAATAATTTTTCGAAAAGAGTAAATTACATACAAAAAATTCGTGGATTGGTTAAAGTTAGTCATTAGAACCGTTGGATGCCAGCAAGTTCAGTGGTCTAGCGGTTAAGCGTTCGCGTGCAACACCGATAGGTTTTTGGTTCTAATCTGGCGAGGCGGGATCGTGCATGCGCACTGCTGAGGAGTCACATACTAGGGCGAAACGGTCGTCAAATGCTTTCAGATTTTTATTCGCATTATGTAATCTAGTATTATAATCTTCCTGTTACATCATCTTGGTTATTCTTTGTTCACATTTCCTCACGGAACCAGTACTTTAACAGTAAAATCTTCATACATATATACAATTGTACAACTTGACAACGAATTCATTGAAAAGAGATCTCTTCTCTGAACTTCATATTTTCTTCAAAGCGTCAATTACCATTTATAGTCAGATAGAAAATTACGTTAAAAACATGTGAAGAATAGGATAGGCGTTACACACATGAGCTCAAATAAAAATAGTCAAACTTGTAAGCGAATAGCTAATAAGGTCAAATATGTGTTGGTAATGACTTAAAAAGAATAAATTGTTTAGCATAATGTAAAGCTGGAATAACCCATATATTAGTGACTTAGTAATAAACGCCATAAATTATGTTTTTTAAATACGTTGTAAAGAGTGAATTTGTATGACCAGTTCTTGAAGAGTATTTCAATCTGAAAATTTCACTTTGAAAACGAAGGAAACGATAACTATATACAGGGTTATAAATTCAAACATGTTAGTGGAGACGCATTTTAGATAAGGTTTTGTTATTTCAAAACATTAGGTCGATCAGTCGAGGTGTTTGAGCAAATTAATTGTCGTAGTTTCGAGAAAATGGTTATCCAAATAAATTATAATACATGCCTGGCATTTAGTTCTAGTAGGCATTTTCGATAATGTATGGTTTGCATTTCACAGGAGAACTGACAATAATGTTTTTAAAACAATCGATAATCGTTCTTGTTATATGAGTACACTGTTTGAGCAAATAAAATATTTAGTCATACCTTTTTGTTTATAACAATGAAGAGAAAGTAGGTGTTTGTCTATTTGTAAACGCCTGTGTTTATATGACACAATCAGCGATTATGACATGTTCGAACTATTTTTGTACGATTATATACAAATATGGAGAAACTTCGTATATATCTATATCTTCTAATAACTAGTCCTTTGTATTTCTGTAGTATGTACTCCTTCCTAAATTGGTGTCTTTATTTTGTACATTTATTCCCATTTTTGAGATTGATTGTAGTTATCATTACTATATCGTCAACAAATTCTGAATCCTAACTATTTCCCAAATTTGTTGAATCTTTCAATAACCATTTTATCGTTGTTTTACTTAAGATTGCTTTTGTGGAGCCCTCCATATTGAACTGCCATACTTTGGTTAATACTTTGTGAGCAGGTGAACAAGCTGTGACCGTCTTTTAAATTACGAAACTCGGAAGACAGACACTGCAGCAGTTCAATATCTCGTTCCAACAGAACAATTATATGGACTTTTTTCAGCCAAAAAGCCATTCAAACGAACGATGTTAAAGACGTGTCAATTTTTTTTAAAGTTTTCTTATTGCTAATCTTGACCTCATACCTCTTAGATGTTATTTTTGAAAACAGACATCGTTCTCAAGTTAATGTGCTATTTTATATAGGATACTTTGTAGTGCATATTGTTAAGTCAAGCCCACATTGGTTGCTCTAGCTTCCAGTCACACTAACTTATTCATTCTTCTTGAGTCACATCTTTACATTGTCAATTTTTCGCCTAATATCCGTCTAAACATACTAGTGTCTGAAATAAATTCATCAAACTCAGCTCATGTTTGGCATTTGATTACTGTTGTCGCACACATGGTGTTTGACTAGATGTAATAAACGGAGTTAGAGTGTTGATATTCAAGACACACTCATGCGTTCCTTTATATCGTAGTCATATCAATAGGTCATCAAATGTAGTCACTCAAATTTGATGTATTTAATGCAATGTTTTGATGTTTTTTATTATGTAGATAATACAAATTATGTTAAAAACCTGAACAACGAGCTAACAACTACTCATAAGCCGATAGTATTATTCGTTGCAGAATATTAAGGACAAACATTAAAGTAAGCGATATGTTCAGTGTATGTAGTCCCCATATTCATTCGCAATCTTGATCGATGATTTCTGTAAAGGACTGTCACCTTATCTAGTTTTCAGGGAAAAATAATGACCAGTTGATTCCTCAATTAAAGAATCTAATATTTAGTGAAGTAAAGACAAAATAACTTTGAGGAAAGTAAAATACTACACCGATCAAAACAATGAAGAAAATACATTTTGATAACTGTCAAAGTTTATCAAATCTAATAGTAGCTATTAACGTGCTGGTTATTCACGTCACATTATAATTCACTCGAAGTTTTCAGGATCATGAATTCAAGAGGTGATCATAAATAACATTGTGTATTTTATAGAGAGTGATGTATGTTTCACTCATGCAATTACTTCTCTATGACGTATTTTAAATAGATGACAGATAACTGACAAAGCTTTTATTATTTATATTTCATCACACTTCACTATGGGTACTACTTAATCTGGTCACATCATTGGAAGGATTATATTGGATCGGTTGATGAAATAATGACTCAGGAATTATGGAAGAAATGTGACGCATCCAATCAAACATCACGAGACTCACTACTGAAAGTTGAAACTAAACACAGAGAATTGTTATTGATTCTACTAAGGAAAATGTTAGCAGAATGATTGACGTAGATTCATATGTTTAACAAAACTTATAAAGAAGAGCTGTTTATTTTTGACTGTGTGACATTTATGAGGTAAACACGATGTGCAAGATCGCTTACGCAAATGTATTACAAAACTTGTATAAATGTACACGAATAATCATTCACTGATAATGGTCTGTCGATAAACGGCATAAATGCTTGTGCACTATTGTGTTCTACCTCACCTATGTAGATTGTTTAATATGTTCTATTTGTAATGGAACTTATTTATTGCCTGAAATGGTTGAAGCATTTTTTAAAAATTAAGGCCACTTCGTTTTTATTCTCGACACTTTCACTTCCAAAAGACAAATCTACTTTATAAACTTGTCAAAGCAAATTAATGTATCATAAATAGAAATAGATTGTCGCTAGCAGTGTGATTGTCAGAGTTCTATTTCCACAAAACTTTAGAGTTGATAACAATACAATACAACACACAAATCCCCATCTATTCTTTTTCTTGTTGTGATAGCGTTTCACATTTCTTATCCATCTCAAGTTTTATGAATCATATTTATTGACTGTGCAAAAATTAACGTGTGTATTTGGTTGGACACGATTTAAACGAAGATCTATTGTGTGAAGTTGATATCTTCCTCGAAAACTTTGATTATGATTGACCGGAACTAGAGAAGTCTAGTCGAGTAAAAAATAAAATCATTTCAAGTTAATGACTGAGACTTTTGAAATTATAATTTTCTGAATCCGCTCTAGATGAAAAGAGTAACGTTCTCGAGAAGTATTTAATCTCAATAGAAAAAAATACTGAGAGAGCAAAATGATGAATTACCTATACAACACATATGAACAACTCTCTATATGATGGTGACCAATTGGCCCTTATGAAATTAAACCAGGAAATCAGCATCCTTGACATCCTTGCTCTATTTGATTCAGAACCGTGTATCAGAGTGACTGAGAAGAGAGTGATACCACTTGTATATTGAATATTAATCAAAATGTTGTCTTTTTAAAATTCGGTTTGTTTTCTTCATATATTCATGCAAAATAATAACAACGGTATTGATATTGAAAACAGTGTGTAAAAATATCGCTCTCACGCTTTACCCTGAATGTAAACTTCGAGATTATCAATGAAATCTAAATATTCACAGTTGACATTGTAGTGGAATTCAAACTCAGATACATAGTTAACTGACTTATTATTATTCATTTATCATTACTTATTCTGTCTTATACGTTTGGACGATTTGCATATTTGTGGATCCCGATATCTGTCACGAAAATAGTGATCTGATAAAAGACATCAACTGTTCCAATACATGAACATCCTCAACGAATAGGAAGACAAATTAATGGCTCAAAATTTCTTAGATGTACACGTGATATTCAAATATTGGATATTAAAAGATTATTATTTGAACGGATAATATTCTTTTCGATAAATCCTCTTCAGGTTCTACAATTCATATATCCAAATTAATAATCCGAACCTTAAGACCAATTAATCAGTAGTAATTTTATCTATTGAATGACCTAATTGGACTATTGCAGTCACGAATTTTCGTAGTCAAATGTAATTGTCTCTGTTATCTTTATTCACAAATCTTTGTATTATTATTATTATTATTATTATTATTATTATTATTATTATTATTATTACTAGTGAAGTCAAATGATGTTTGTAACAGTATCTTGTAAGTTAAACCGGTTCGTCACAGGAGGTGTGCTTTGCACTGAAATTACAATGTATATTGGTTTTAACATGTCACGAGTTAATTAATCTGATGAAAATGATACAATTAATAATCACATGAATGTCATATATACTATCACTCATTTAGCTTGCTGAAATAAAATAGTATATAAGTGATATAATAGAGCGGCCAAAGCACCGTTTATACAACAATATGAAACTATCTGGAGCAAACTGTTTGTTAGTTTTCAGCCTACTACAACTTCTTATGACATTTTCAACCTGTAAGTTGATGAGATTTTGTAGTTATAAAGATACAGTACTTAGTAAAATGATTATTTACGGTGAATATTTTGACCTCCTGATGAATTTGTGCCTTTTTTTCTAGTTTATAAGCATATTCATATTTAATGAAACGTAGTTTTGGTGGACGGTTAGCTAAGGCAAGTTATTTGGACTGTTTGTACGAACGTCGATTGTCTAGTATTCACCATCAGTTGTTAGTGAAATGGGACAACCATTCTCCAAAGTTACAGATGAGATTAATCGCTCATTTCTTTCAATGAGTATGATATGAAAACTGTACAATTTCATTATACTGTTTATAACAACGATTTATATAAAATAATATTGTATTCAATTAGATCCTCATCAAGCTTTACTCCAATTAACAATAATATTTATATGAATATATGGAATCTCTAAACTAAACGTAGAAGTTTACGCGTCTGTGTTAATAGTGATACATTTTTTTCATCAGTATACATAATATTTAAAAAGAGTGAAACTGTAGCATGACGACAGGTTAAATAGTGATCGAACAACATGACAGCAAAAGTAGACGCCTTCAAAAGAGGACAAATAAAAGTAAAGGATGTTGAGAATAATAATGACAGTTTCATTACAAACCTGGACATACATTATGAGTGGTGAATCCAATTAAATACCATTTCACTTTGTAACCGTACTACTTTGAAAATGTTTGTCAACGTTACTTGTGGAAATGTACCTTTCTTCATGAGACAATAATTTCAGTTTACCTTGGGGTAGTCAGTTTTAGAAATTAGTTTGAACGAGTTCACTCAACTCGATATATTTCCATCTTCAGGTGATATTAGTGGTGAGTCACGTTATTGATGTTTTAGTTGTCCTCTGTAAATAACACCCATTTAACTAATGTTCTATATGCACATTTTTCAACATTACAATCGCCCGAGATTCACTTCACTTACATGTGAGAACACAAGACAATAGAATAAAAAAATACATATATCGTGATGTGTTTGCTATAACCAGTTGTTGTCAGTTTAATGTAGTTCCATATTTTATGATATTAAATGTCTTTAATATAATGTGCATATTAAATAATAAATGGAACTTCAGATAGAAACACTAAAATGTACGTTAGTTCATCCGTTTGTAGCTATCAGTGTTGCTTGTGTTTCATCATGTTTACTGTTTTCTTGGATCTCCCTACATGTTATATACGAAGTAAACCGATATTATCTTCTGACAGCGAAACATTTTTGATAATTTTTCTGTTGTTATATACTTGTCAAATCAAATTTATTGAATGAAATACGTAAATGTTTATTTTGAATACTATAAAAGCCATAACATGTAATAGTAAGTCAAATATATTGACATAGTATTATTTGCTTGTATCTTACCATTGTTGCTTTAGGGCTGCAAATGATCAGTCTCTTGTTGACATATGTGCATCCTGTGTGGATTGCCTAAATATTGCCTCCATTTATAAGCTTCATAAGCAAAGATGGATGATGGCTAGCAGTGGAAACCAGGACGTGCGTTCCGTCTTATCAGAACTCAATAGCTAAGTGGATAACGCGATGACGTTTGAAGCGAGTGGTGATGGGTTCAAGTCCCAGAGTAAAAATCAACTCTGGGACGCAGGTACACCAAGCCGAGAAGTCCCAAAGAGGACGAATTGCATGTCCTGGGTTCCGTTGCTAGCCACCATCCATCTTTGCTCATAAAATAAGTTAAACAATTTCAAAACGGTATTATTGTGTTGTGAAATATCAAGATTTTGAAAGCCAAGTATACTTTATACAGGGAAGAGAATAATGTATCCAGTGAATTCATTTAGTTTTGATTATTAAATCGTGCAGTCTATTGGAGAGGAGCTCACACCATTCAAGTTTTCGATACATCGTGTGGGGTGCGTGCATAAATATGTAAATGTACACACCTAATGAATAAATTGTCATTAATGATAATAATAGTATGCAAAGATTTGCAAATATTCTCAGCCGTTTTCAAATTTTATTTACCTTTACTTTGGTATATTAGTGGTCCTTGAGTTAATGAATTTCTCTAGCAAACATCGGTAATCCACATTATTTATCGGATGTGATTAGAAGTCATTGATGTCTTACTGACAAACAATAACCAAAATAAGCTGAGTGTTCTTAGCAAAGAAAACATTCATCTTGTTTCCGGTTGCGGATGTGACAATTTACTTGAGTAATGAATCGTTTTCCGTTGTTCAAATTGATTGGTTAATAAATTCACTTCACTCATTCGAATCTAATAATACCGGTTGATGATATAATAAAGAACGTTTAAAGTCAGTTGGTATGGAACATTTAGAAACATTTGTGTTTTACTTTGAAATGTTTTTGTTATGTTTCACAGAGACAGTCTGTTGCAGTAAGTCTGATTTATAATGAGCTTTTGACATATAAGGGGGACATTTTAAAGTGAGCATTTCTTCATATTCGGAAATAAGTTATGGCTGTGCAAAATTTTAAAATGAATTTATCAAAACCTAGAAGAGATATCTTTCACATGGTGGACGGATGCCAACTGTCGTTACCATTCAAATTAAATCTATCAGTTGTCCCCAGTATAATCAACAGTTCTGAAATTATTTGGCAACAGTTTGTGAGGTCTAATCACAACAGTGATCAATAATATTCTAGATTTTGGTTCGAATCACATTTATGTATTTAATAGAGGATGAAATGAACGAACTGTTTTATAATGAGAAACCGAACATGGATCTTAGTGACCATAAATAAGATGTTTGTGAACGATTCACTAATAAAGATTGTAGTAATGAAAGCGAACAATTTTTGTTACACTCAAACGAACGGACATTTTGTAAATTGAATTTCTCACTACTCAGCACATAAAGATATAACAGGCAATCAAATGATGATTTCTAGATAGAAATGTCGAAACATTTATATTACGCATTTATTAATTTTCCAGCATGAAGTTTTCTGACATGATATCAAGATGATTTTTGAGGAATGTGTCGTTGTAGCTGAATAGCGTTTGGTGGTGACTGATCAGGCTACCTAAGTTACGCTTCTCTGATGAATGATGTTTTTCGCTGAAAATTTTGATTTTCACAGATAATTTCTTCATGCTTCGGTTTAAGTCTTGCTCATAGATGATTTTTGGAGCCTGAAAGGGAGAACATCAGACTCTAGAATTAACTGTCGGAAAACAAACTAAATATTACACCTAGTGAAATAACGATCACCAAATACAACATTGACAGATACATTGAAATTACTGTTGAAGGGTATTCATTTCTGTTTATCACTGTTCTGACTATGTAATTATGTCGACGATTGTTTCCCTCGAGGTCATTCTAGCAATTATTTAACATAGCATTTACTACATACTATAAAAAATCACCAATCAATATAGTTAAGCTGGAAGATTAGTATGCCTAATATCTATTGAAATCATTGTACTTATTTGTAATTAATAGCTTTTATTCGTAATAAACGACATATTTAATGATATTTAAATTCCAGCGTCAGACAACGGCAAACCAGGTTCGTACTGAGACGTATTATTATCACATATACTATCTTTTTCATATGAACATATAACAGACAACCAAAATAAGTGCTCATTGATTTCCAACTAGAAATGTGGAAACATTTGTATTGCGCTTTTACTAATGTTCCATCAAATTTCATGAAGTTTTCTGAAGTGATATCAAGATGATATTTGAGAAACGTGTCGTTGTAGCTGAATAGCGTTTGGCGGTGACTGGTCAGTCTACCTAAGTTGAGCTTCTCTGATGAATGATGTTCTCTGTTATTCGAATATTTACTGAAAATTTTGATTTTCACAGATAATTTCTTACTACTTCTGTTGAAGGCTTACTCATAGATGATTTTTGAAACCTGAAAAGGAGAACATCAGACTCTAAAATTAGCTGTCGGAAAACAAACCAATCATTACAATTAGTGAAAGAACGATCAACAAATATATCATGGACAGATATACTGAAAACTACAGTTGAAGGGCATTCATTTCTGCACATCACTGTTCTGATTATGTAATTATATCGACGATTGTTCCCCTCGAGATCATTCTAGCAATTATTTAACATAGATTTTACTACATACTATGTAAAATCACCAATCAATATAGTTAATCTGGAAGATTAGTATGCCTAATATCATACTCATTTGTAATTATTAATAACTTTCATTCGTATTAAACGACATATTTAATGATATTTAAATTCCAGCAGCATCAGAAAACGGTAAACCAGGTTCGTACTGAGATGTACTATTATCATATATAGTATCTTTTTTGGATATTTCAGTTAAATTTAGATTTGATCATTTATGACGTTACTGTCGACTAATTATTACATTTATAGACGGCTCACTGTGTTGTAGTAAGTCGGTCAATCTTTGCAGTTGTTCATATGTTATTAGTAATTTTTTAACATCTAACTCATTCCCATTAGCATAAATCAAGATGTATATTACTCTGGTAAGCGTAAATATCACCTGTAGAAGTAAAATACCGATTTAACAAAGTTGATAAAATGGAGCATTCTGTACAAAATATACAGATAATATGGAAAATCACTGTTTACTGTACTGTTATCAAGAATAAGCGAAATATTGTACTACGAATACACGTCTTAATAACTGACGTGAACAGTCATGCATATTCACTTATGAAACATAAAACATTGCAGTTCCCGTAATTTGCGACTAGTGTAAATGTTAATGTGAAAACAATTGTCCACTTGATAGCTATTGTCAATATCTAATTTTCGTAAAGAACTTATAGTAGTCTACTACTTCATATGCTTTGATAATCGATATTTATTTGAACCAGAGTGTATCTCATAACCATCTGTAAAAACTAGGTGCCGTCGAGTTACATAAAGTAGCTATTCATGGAGCAGTCATTATAATTACATCTTTCCGTTTCTTAAAATTAGACATTTACACCAGTTTTAAACGTTATTCTAGGATTAACAGAATGTTTAGACATAGTTGCAGGCTACATTAAATTCGTAGCTTCCATTCTCCTACCAAACATTTAACTGTTCATAGATGCTGATGGTCACCAAATTTAGCAAGTTATTTTGCAATGGATAATCCCTTAATTTTCAAAAAAATTCAGATCTATTTGTTTCAGAGTATATTAAAGGGAGTGCTTGTTTTATCTTTCCGCAATACATTGTATTATTCTACAATCGTAAATTATTGATTATCGTCTAATGTTCTTTACTTCAGAAAAAGATGGTTGTCCAGGTACGTTGAAAAAAGATGTTTGAGAAAAATTTTGTTTTACATTTCAAGAGATTAAGTTTCTCAGAAACTATAAATCATCGGTAACAATCATCTATATATATTCACTTTGAATTTGTTGACTGATAAGCAAATAAATACTTTACAGAATCCCAATTTCATACAATGAACGAATTGTAATTCACTACGTTGTAAAAATAACTACTTAATTAATTTTTTATTGACAGGTCAGTCTTATGGCGTATAGCTGAAATCGACTTAAGCTAATAATACAATATTTGCGAGTACAAAGTGAATGTTAGATCATATCCAGATTCATGTGCTTGACAAACCTGCAGTGTTGTATTTGAAAATGTCGTATAATGAAAATGAGTCTACCTTTTGTCTGAGTGTTTATCAGTTTGTTTCTGTTGAATCAATTATATAGCCGACCACACATTTTGACAAACATAAAACTGGATACAAAAGGGTATTGATTCTCAGCTTGATATATTTTGACGATGCATGTAAACATATCATGATACAAGTGATAACGGTTAGCTCAATTTATGCATGTGAAAATACTTCCAGAAAGCAAAATGTTCGCTCAAAAATAGATACACAACATATTCACGATTGCTTTCTAATTCCGTTTCTGTTTTCCTCAAATCGACCTTCATAAACTTATTCTGTCAGGGATTCAACTTCCCAGTATTGTTACATACTACTTATGTCGACAGACATAAGTAGCATACACCACATAATGACACATTCTTAATTAAGCTAACCGAAAATCCCATAATCGTTTGTTCATGTACATTATCATGTCAGTTCCAAGTGGTAAGTTCAGCTCTTATTACAAAATGGTTTATAATTATGAATTTTTTTGCCAAAATTATTCAAGTACTTGATATGACTGCAGTGTGAGGATTTGTTTAATATAAAAATGAATGAGAGTTTGTGATTTTACTTCTGTATTTATTGGGTAACTCCCATTTGCTTTCAGCTTTCTTAAAAACTTGAAAGATCATATTCATTATTTTTTTGAGTTCAGGACAGTCATTCTGTCTGAAAGATAGTGGATGGTTGATCACAGTAGTTTCATTATTTATATGTTAATCTAACACTCTTACATCAAATCTTAATGACATTTTTATATTTGCGAAAATTCCAGTCTTTCAAAAACAGATACATTTTATTTTCTATTTTAATTATAAAGGCACTTCAGAGTCCTTGCTTGAAAATTGTAAGCATATTTGAAATCTAATTTCATCTTTCCATATCTCTTGTCGTAATAATTATGTTTCACAAAATAAAATTCCAGAATTTTGATGTTGAAATGTCTCTCAACTAGTATTTATATAAAAGTAATCGCTTAAATATAGCTTGTGTTGTACAGAGATGTAAATATAAAGCAATTTTACTTAAGCGACACTGCACACCTATGAAACAGTATCAACGAGTAAGTTTCCTTACACAGATAACGATTCAATACAAAACAAAAAGAACATGCATTTACAGCAATAACTGACCGAAAATTTACCCACAGGAGCTTATCCAGAGTACCATTTATATGAAATTTTTTATTGATTACTTCATATATTTGTAGGTACATTGCAGCTGCACTTATCAACTCTTAGGTTGATAGTAATCTCTAGATATCATATGTTGGTATTAATTGGGACAATACATAATTCAGTATTATTACATGATATCGAAACAGGGGAAATAAAAAAATTCAAGCAAGATAACAGGAGTTCATTTCGTCTGATTTGGATCTCGTTAGTTCTTTACAACCTGTAGTATCTAAACATCACAAATTAATAAAATTGGTTAAAAATACTAACAAAAAAGTGTCTCAACGGAATCTGCTATGATCACAACTACTAACTGCTTGATATATTTAAGAAAACTGAAAACAGCAGATGTGGTCACGGTGAATAAGAAGACACGTTTTATAGATCTCGACTTCAAATGTGGTGTCGTTTCATGGAGAATCATCAGAAAGTTCAATATATGTTCTTTCTTTAAGAAGATCAGCGGAAAAATAGGTAAAAAATAACACGCTAAGATGAATAACAAACAGTAGGCAAAAATGATTTTTAGAATCACCATTCATGGTAAATATGTTATTTTCATTTCTGACATCTCAAAACAGATCGGCGCGCTCGACAAATGAGTGAGCATTCGTTCCATATTCACATTTTTGATATCGCGTATATTTATCTGTATTATTTCACAAAACAGAAAGAGGTGATCCAGGTTTATATAACAGGTGTGAAGCAAGTCCCAGTTAAATTCATCATCTCTTTGAAGTTGTGTAGATCACCTAGTGTATACAAAGTTTACAAATGAACACAAAAAACTGTTAAGTCTAAGTGAAGTTGATATATTGATTAATCTCAAAAATAGAGTAGTAGAGGCTAAACTGACAGAATATATCTCGTATTGAAGGTTAAATGGTGAAGCTCAATGGTTATTTCATAAGATCAACAACTACACATTTTTGGTGACATTTGATTTTATCTTTCATTATCTGTCCAATATAAACAAACAATTATCAACACCACATGTCATAAAGATTGACTTCGATCTGTGAACATTGTTAGTAGGTAAATCGGCACTGAAAAAATTGTACATTTGTTAATTACATAACTGATTTGTCGATCATCACAAGGGAAACGTTTTTGCAGTCAGTGATAAGTATATGTTGAGTACAAATATCACTGCTGAGACTCGCTTGTAAGCAATGAGGAGTTGAGGGAAGTTACCGTGATATTAAAATATTTAATATCTTAATAACGTTTCATGTCTGCACAGTAATAATGGTTTCATTGATGTTGATCATAAGCAATATTCACATAATTCGTGTACCATGGGCTGAATGACTGATACTTGTGAATTAATTATGTGATACTGTAGTGAACAAGAACACGGGTGGGAACAATCGAATTTATCGGACACAAAATTAGAGTTACTTGGTAAAATAGAAAAACCATACTATAATACTTTATTTGCAAAATGTCAAACAATTGTTTCGAACTTCATTGTTCTTGCATTTCCACACTGATTGTTTTCTATCACCGCTCTTTCCTTCTTGATCTTCCCTCATTTTCTGCTGCCAGACATTACAATCCTGACTCGCGTCATGTACTAGTTATATCAATATCAGTAGCATGCACTACAATACTATTGGATATCGTATCCTACACTTACATCTCTCTAAACTTTTGAAAAATATCTCTGTTTTAGAAAACTATTTAACGGAAGTGTGTAAGTTATGTTCAGTGCTAATCTTCAAGGTACACTTCTATCCTTATATCAACATTTTTATGATCCAGCTATTATAAAACTATTTTTACTTTGCTTCAATCACATTATGTGAAAATTTAATAAATTAATTACTCACTAGCTTTAAATCGGTCATATACGATTATTTTGATGTCACTCAACAAATTTTAGATAATATTTCGAGAGAAAATACGGGAAGAAATCAGTTAGAAATAATATTCATAACATCTCTAAGTCTATCACTTCATTTTGGATGCAATGATATTATTGATTGAGATCATGATCCCGCGAGCGGAATCGCTGATGCCCATTGCTAAGGAGTCCCACAATAGGGCGAAACCGCCATCCAGTGCTTTCAGGTTTTCAATGGTGGTCTAACATCAATCGGTTTATGATCTCAATCAACATCTTAATAATCTACACAACGCTGTACAGGCAGTTTCAGCCTTATTGATTTTGAAAAAGTAATATGATGAGTTCGTTCAAATTATCATAAAAGATATATGTGTTGAAGTCTGTTTTGTTTAATATTGTTAGAAATATTGAGTTTAGTTTGTACACTAATTTTCGTACACTGAAGCTATGCGGTCGATCATATTCATATTGTAATAACATTCCACACTTATGATACACTTTTTCTCAGGCAAAAATTTTATATGTAAGTTTTATGGGGTATTACAGATGTTTCTTAGACAATATGAAACGGACGACTATTTCAAAAGTATTCTATGAACCAACTAGAGGTTTACAAAATGAACTCTGAGTGTATACCAATTTTAAGAATTCCTATTATATATATATATATATATATATATATATATATATATATATATATATATATATATATATATATATATATATATATAAACTCAGTTATGTTTTCGTGGAACTGATGTAAAATAAACGACAAAACATCTAGGTAAACGAGCGTGGCGTCAAGGTTATGAGTGAATCAGGTACATTGTAATGCAATAATAAACGTAATGATAATAATTGAAGGGTCTTTCAGTGATAATCCACAGGACGAAACATAGGATACTTAACTTTCAACAGTTGATAACTTTTATTTGTCAGTAAATACGGTACAATGGGAATTTTGTCTCTTTATTTCTCCACACACGATATACGACTTCTACTTTTTCTATCATGGTAGCTTTTTATTCCATCAGACTTATAGTTTACTCTCATTTGTTCAAGTATTCCATGTCTGTATACTGAAGTAGTTCATATGAGGTCTTATCGTTTATGTATTTGCTATGTTTTATAAGTAATGTAGTTGAAAATGATGTATAATAGTTTTCATATCAAATGTAAACAGTTGCACAGATAATATTTGAACTCATCTTCAGACATTGGGATAAATCACACCAATTGATGAGTTCGGTATTACCATTGTGACCAACAAATCGAAACTGAACCACTGTTTTTAAAAGAAGTAATGTATGGATGAATAAGTGGGTTGTTAATCAAACGAAATGAGGTTGTGATAGATCCCACATCAAGTTATATTTGTCCTAACTGGACATTTCATGCTGAAAAATATTTAGCACCTGAATACTTAATCGATATATGAAGCAGTCTATGGATCCGTATGCTTAACAGAATTTAAAGACAGGAGCTTTCAAATAAGCAAACCTAAGCATATAATTCCGAATAGTACCTGAGAAAAACCTCTAGCACGATCAAACTTCTGACTGAGGTAACTTAAAGTGATATTAGATCATGAACAAGGCTGTACAGAAAACAAATTTAAACTCACATTGATAAGAAACATATGGGATACTCAAGAACCAAGTGATAGTTTCATTACTTATGAACGTTATTCATACTGAAATGTCTGTTTACAATTAGTTATTCAAGTACGAACTACTTGTATATGAATTATTTAAGAATGGTTTTGAAATGTGTAATTGTATTATATTTGTTATTACATTTCATAGAAACACTGAAAAGTACTGGAAAATTGGTTCTTCACAATGAATTATAATTATAAACATGCTAAATTGACTGATCATGAAGTTATCTATTTGATTTATTTGTACAACTTAAATAACAAACGACGCTTGTAAGCTCCTGTTCGTCTTTTTTTCATTTCTTGAATATCGGAAGTAAAATTATTGGGGACATGATGACAGAGTATTGTGTTCCACTTTGGAAGTTTGAGTATAATTGTATTTTTTCTTTCTTTTTGTGTTGGGGTACTGCTGAGCATACATTTATCTGCTGATCCTCTTAGATCAGTCAGAAGTCAATTAGAAATCGGTCGTGTGGTTTAATGCTAAGTTGACTTGTTTCTTTTTTCGATTGTTGAGTGAAACGGCAGTTCCTCTTCTAAATATATTATCACAAAATGAAATAATAGGTTAAAAGTATCAAAGCTGAGCTGAGTGGCAAATAATCAAATCAGCTTGGGAGCACAAATTCTTTTAAGATTATAGGTTTATCATGTATATCCTAATCAGTGACATATAATACAATTTCCTGGTTCATCATTTTCTGACACAAAAACAAAACCTGTGAAATATTAAATACATAAATAACGGTAATAACAATTACTCCTTATAAATCTTTGCATATGATTAGATCTCTATCTTAAGCGGTCGGCAGTGTAGGTGGTCGTTTTAACATAGTACTTAGTAAGATTTTATTCACATGTCAAACATACACTGAAATTGATGAACGACAGTACTTATCCTTAGTTTATTGTCTGAGGAAATTTCGTTTCCCTACACTGTCTTACTACCGAATAACAACTGAGGCAATACAAATATATAGAGACAATACAAAGTGGAATTTATTCAAAAAGCACCAATAATTACACTTATAGTTCTGTGTTTCACACACATATAAATGAAATTGCTCATGGTTGTTTATGACTAGTAATTCGCGCATATCCGTGAAGATATCAAAACCAATTTTCCGAAGAGATTGCGCATATATCGTATATTTCATGAAATGTTACCGTAGTAATAAAAGTAATATTCGTATATGGTTATCGTCAAAAATACTCAATATGCATCTACTTATATTGTTCTAGTTTTATTTACTTGATTATTTTAAGCTTCTCGATCTTCAACTTCACAATTATTCATTTAGTTCCGTGATATTCTGTGGTGGAATTACAAGTCGATTATCTATCAGATGTTTGTGACTTTTCAATTATAACCGTATTTGTGTAACCGATTTAATGGTCAACAACATTTCAACACTGTAAACTATTTACTTCAATAACATTGCTGTGTTCTATTGTAGTGGACAGGAACAATAATGTACTGAACTTGTTAATAAAATCTAACAATCATAAAGTAAATGCTTAATTCGCAAAATGTCCATTAATTGTCTCAAAATGACTCAGACTTTATTGTTCTTGCATTTTCATATAAATTGCATCCTGTTTCCATTCTTTCCTTTTCGATCCTCTTGTCTCTCTGCTGTCGGATCTTCTGTTCACGACTAACATCAAATATTACTTATGTCAATATAAGTAGCACACACCAAACTATAATATAAAAACACAACAAATGAGGTTTCCTTAGATTGCTTGCAAGTCATATAATACGTTTCACGAAAAAAATAGTTGAAACATATAGAACCGAACATTTATTACACAACATATGGATTCTGGATCTAGAAGCTGTTCAAAAATAAATTCATGGGATTATATTAAATTATGAACTAACTGACCATATTGTATTATTCAAAGTTCACATGATTGAACATAAGCAGTGAAAATATACCACTAAAGTTTCATGATCTGAGTGTTTGTGAGTATCTTGGCGACCTAAGACGGCATTGGTGATCAGGAAGTCGGGCTCTTTGACCTTGATGTTTGATTCCCTCAAATAATCGTTAACAAAGCTGAAGCCGTTCGGTCTCTGACTTCATCCGTTATATTTCAACTATTCTAACAACTAATCCGTCTCTTTATCTACCTTCCGCATTTACACAAGTTTCTTTGAAGAAACAGTCATGTTTGGGGTCATGATTAACGTCATTAGAAAACAAAGTGTAGACAAATATGTTAGTTCACCATATAAACTCGGAAAATACTACTTTCAGATGCTGAATCGGCCGCTTCTTCTGAATCGCCCGTTTGTACTTCATTTTTCTAGTCACACTCACTGTTCTCCTAAGAGACAATGTTGTGTACTGCAGTGAATCGGATCAAATTCGATTCGGAGTCAAGAACTGTTTCTTCTATCAAAATAACCAACTACGTGAATAAGATAAGCGTGGTACCAAAGTTCAAAACAACATCAGTTCAACTGATGATTGACTCTGTTGTTAAGGATTTCCATAGGTTGTTGAAAATCCTCAACTTCTGAGGCATATTTAGAGATTAGGGCACCTGTATATCTTGAAAGATAAAAAGTCCTATAATTATAACCTATTTAGAAATTATAACGCATGGCGATGCATATGACAGGTAGTAGCTTTGTGTAGTAATGACAGAAATTTTTCACGAACACAATCTAATACTACTAGTGACATAATTTCCAACAGCTTTAACAAGTCACGTTATATGATATATACGCTCAACGTTATTGCCGTCATTCCAGAATTTATAGGGATTTACAAGAAATAGAGACGATACTGTTGACTGCGAACATATGGATGATATAAGGGAGTTGTAAGCTGACACGAACATTTTTATATCGCTCGATTTTCCAATCAAACAACTACTCACTGAAATCCCATAACAAACAGTTCTGTCGACTATGTTGATTAAAAATTTTACAGGAGAATAAGATGATCCTGCAATGTACTCATTCTTAATATATCAGATATGTATGCTCTGAGAACAACAAAGTTTAAGCTGCTAACTAGCATCAGTATGACACACGTACCATGTGTGCGCATAAGGCTGAATAATTTTCCCAGATATGCTTTGATCAATATTGTCCATAACTAACAACTCTGTAGAAGTAAGCAAACTTTTCCGAATGCAATCAGACAGAAACTGTTTTTCAGTGGTGTTAAGATTTTATCACAATAAACGCTATGTCAACAGAAGACAGAGTCATACGTACTAAAATAATGAAAGTCATTAAAGTAATTTGATTACGAACTGTTATATCTAGAGCTTAGATTTCTGATATACCGCGTACAACTTGAGCACACGAACACTCGAACCTTCCGAGTTGCAAATTAGAAGAGAGGAAACAAGTGAAAGGAGTGCTATTCCAAACAATGTCAAATATGGTACACAACTCTCAGGTATTTATAGTTTTTAGTTAGAGAGAAATAATTATTATAATCATCCGATCTGTATACAGGGGTTTTTAGCATGTCTAATGGTGAAGCCACACGTGTAGATTCTGGAATGTCCTTACAAAAAATGATTGGTTGGAACATCTTTGGCTCTTTCTGAGCTTCTTAGTGCTTCTTCGAGTTTATCCGTGGGCCGTCCTCACATGAACCACACTCTAACTTGATAAATTTACTATGCATGTGTCACTCGCCCGAAACCATTGTAATTCAGAAGACAGAATAAAGCGAGTTTGGTATTCATCAAAAATACTGATTTTGACCTATTGTATGTAGATGATTGTGTTAGTATTGACACAAATAACACCGCTGAAATTTTCATTAGTGCGACACACAGTTGGTACATCTGTGATAGAGGCGAAACGGAGGCAACAATGAAGGATAAATGAGCACAGATTTATTTCAACTGGGAAACTAACTGAAGCACGACAATTAAAATCTGATTCATCTCAAAGTACAAAGAAACCAAAATGAACTATATCAATTGTGAAGAATATTTGAGCGAACAATTGTTTTCAATAACTTCATCATCAGGCTCTACAGTTATAAGTCCATAATTATAATATTTTACAAAGGCCAAAAATAAGGCATGTTTTAATGAGTTTGACAATGTTATGTTATCGTAACAGATGCAAACGTTCACCATTTTTAACACATAACATTGTCAAACTCATTAAAACATGCCTTATTTTTGGCCTTTGTAAAATATTATAATTATGGACTTATAACTGTAGAGCCTGATGATGAAGTTATTGAAAACGATTGTTCGCTCAAATATTCTTCATTTTTAAATATTCTATGGGGATTTTTAAACTGCTATATCATTTGTATTAACAAGCAGCAGCAATTGGAAGACAGATTTTGCGGTACAATCTCCATCATCTCTCCGCCGAATTTAATATTATTAGAACCCGTTAACTCTTTGTTAATCTTAGCATTGTGCTATAATATCTTGTAGTGTCACGTACACATGGGTTATTTTAGCTTTAGAACAAACCTATTAATCATTCCTCTTTAGTCACACGTTGACCTAGTCAATTGTTTGCCCATTACATTGACTGTTTTGTTTGGGCCAGATCATCTGCGAAGTCCAGATCGTCCAACTGCATCCTAGATGTCCATTGTATCCCGTGCTTCCCTTCAGATGTTGACGTCTTCATGATCCAGTCGATCACCAGGAGAAAGAGAAAGGGTGAGAGTAAGCAGCCTTGCCTAACACCGGTCTTCACTTCGAACGACTTTGTCAACTGTCCTCCATGCACGATTTTGCAGTGTAATCCATCACATGAACTCTGTATGATATTGACTATCTTTTGAGGCACGCCGTAGTGTCGAAGAAGTTTCCATAGTGTTGTCCTGTCCACGCTATCAAATGCCTTTTCGCAGTCAATGAAGTTGATGTAGAGTGATGAATTCCATTCAATTGATTGTTCCACAATGATACGTAGAGTTGCGATTTGGTCTGTACACGATCTATCATTACGGAATCCTGCCTGTTGGTCACGAAGTTTGGCGTCTACGGAGTCCTTCATCCTGTTAAACAATACCGTGTTGAAGACTTTTCCCGGTATTGAGAGAAGAATGATGCCCCTGTAGTTATCACAGTTGCTGAGGTCGCCTTTCTCCGGTATTTTGATCAGAAGTTCTTCTTTCCAGTCTGTCGGTACTTGTTCCTCATCCCAAATCTTATTGAAGAGAATGTGGAGTATCCTTGCAGTTGCCGCTACGTCTGCTTTTAGTGCCTCTGCTGGAATGTTGTCTAGTCCTGCTGCTTTGCCACTCTTGATTTGTCTGATGGCCATGCTG